AGATGTGTCTCTTTGGCCTTGGCGATTCATAGACAATGTCTTCCCCTGGAAATTTTTTTTTTAGAAAAAGAAAAAAAAAAAAAAAAAAAAAACCTAAATTTTTTATTTTTTTTTTTTTTTTTTTTTTTTTTTTTTTTTTTTTTTTTTTTGCCAGTAACTGTTAGCTAAGGCGTGCATTTCCTGAGAAACATAATAATGAAAATTAAAACAAGGAATAAACAAGCAATGGGCATGCTGCCTGTTTCTTCTTGCTGTGCCTGGGGGGATGATTCATCCCCGCAAGCTGATGAAGGGAAAATGTAGGGCTCCAGGCAAATGCTTGAGGGAATGTGTGTCCCACAAAAATGTACGGGAAGGGGACCTATCACCTAAGACAGAGTCATTCACAAGCCTACCTTCAAGAATAAAATAAAATAAAACAAAGAACCACACAGGGGGATAGAAGTTACATTATGCCCCCTGCTTCTCAACACCTTCTGTGGGAAATGAAGTTTTATAAAACTGAAGGATCTGTTATTTTTCCCAACCCCCAATCCACTCCAGGGATTTTTAAGACTATCATTTGTTTTATGGAATTACTAATTATAATTAAAAACTTGATAATAAAAATTTATGTTTTCAAAAATACTTTCAAAGTCTTTTTTTTATTAAGTGGAAGACAAGAAACAGGAGACCTATGGAATATATAACATTTGCTCTAAAGCAAAAGGCCAAATCTGAAAACAACTCTACCTCCTGAACCAGAGTGTGTCTGCCCATCATTACAAGGCAAGGTCTGATAGTCAGGACTGATCTCAACCCTGAGTGCCTCAACTCACTCCTCCCTCCACTAGCAGAGAGGGCAACCTAGGGAGACACAGCTGAGCTAGCCTATTTTACCTCCGTGGTTCCTCCCATTCCTTTGGGAGGAGGAGGAGGGAGAGGGGGAGGGGGAGGAAGATAGCTGTCCTTCAAGATCATCTTGGGTATTTACTCCAACCAGCAATTCATTTGGATAATATGTACCTTGTAACTCTCAGGATGACTAGGACTGGTCAAATCCCTAAGAGTGGCCTGAAATTTGCACTCATTTAATAGAACGTTTCTCAGAGCTTTAACTTTGTAAGTATTTAGTATTTTGAATTTATTTATCTACCTATCTTTATTTACTTGCACATGCTGGTACTTTGTGATTATGCGTGGACGTACTTTGTGTGGTGTGGGTACGCACGCACTAGCTCCTGGGGAGGCCAGAGAGTAACCTTGTTTGTCATTCCTCAGACCCTTTCTATCTTGTTTTATTGGGACAGGATTTCTCACTGGCCTATAACTTGCTAAGGAGGCTAGGCTGGCTGGCAAGCCTCCGAGATCCACCTGTCTCACCCTCCCCAGTATTGGACTTATAAGTGGATGCCACCACACTCAGTTTTGTGTATACTTGTCTCTGTGTATGTATATGTCTGAATGTGGTATATGTGTGTGTGCTATGTGTTCACCACCATGTGTAAGTGTACATATCTGGGCACCTAAGTACAGAGGTCAGGGGAGGATGCTGGGTGTCCTGCTCTATCACTCACTGCCTTATTCCTTTGAGACAGGGTCTTTCATTGAACCTGGGCTAGGCTAGTGGCCACTAAGCTCCAGGGATCCTCCTGTCTCCTCTATAGCACTGGGGTTACAATATTTGTGATTATGCCCAACTTCTTCCCTGGGTACAGTGATCAGAACTCAGGTCCTCATGATTATGTAGCAAGCTCTCTTACCACCGCATGATCTCTCCAGCCATAGTCATTTTTTCAATATTTTATTTGTTTTTATTATTTTTATGTGTATAAGTGTATTGCCTGCATGTGGGTAAGTACACCCGTCCCAAGCAATGCCTGAGAATGGTGTCGGAGCCCTGGAACTAGAGTTGCAGACAACTGGTAGCCATCATGTGAGTGCTGGGAATCGAACCTGGGTTTTCTGCAAGAACAGCCAGTGCTCTTAACTGCTGGAGTCATCTCTCCAGCCCCTCTAGCCAGTTTTTTGATGTGGATTCTGAGGATCAAACTTAGGTTCTCATGCTTGCAAGGCAAGCACTTTACCAACTAAGCCCTAATGTATATCTTTAAGAAAGATGCTTTTTAGGGTAGATACCAAGTAAAACATAGTTTAGTCTGCAATGAAATGTACCACATTTCAGGGTCAAGTTGAGGAGCTACAGAGTAACAGCAAGGCTGATTTGCAAATTTTAAGTCCAGAGACAATGACTTTGTAAAGATTTTATCATCTCTAGGTTTGAGGGGCTAGTCGGGGGCAGCTGAAGCTGAAACACTGCCATATCTGTGGTCAAGAGGTTACTGGGAGCATGCAGAACTGTGTCTGGGCACCAAGGACCATCTGTCAATCTTGGGGCAGCTGTGGAAGGAAGACATTAGAGAACTGCTCTCTAATCAAGGAGTCAGCAAACTTTCTGGTAGTAATTCAAGCACTTCTTCAATTACTAAAACAGCACAGAAAACATGAACACAAATGAGTGTTTCCATGTGCCAATAAAATGGGTACAGAAATTTTATTTTGATATAATTTTCAGGTCACAAAACACAGTTCTGCTTTTGAGTTTTCCCAATCATATGAAAATGGTTAGAACCTATCCTTTGCTGCGTCTGTGTGGAAGTAAGTGAGGTGGGAGGGAGCTAGCTTGGCTTCAGGGTCCTGGTTTGCCAGCACCTGCTCTAATTAATACATCAGCTAAAAGCCTTTGTCTTTCAGCTTCTCTGAGGAACTGAACAGAACTGGGGTGGTGGAGTGGATGCATTTTGTGAATTTCTTCCTCAAATTATCAGTCTGGATGGAAATCACATTTGAGTATCAACATCCAGATCCTCATCTGCCCATGGGAGGCCAGGGTTCGATATGCTGGGGTTGTTCGTGCACAGTAGTCACCTAGCCATCTACCGCTATAAACTTCTAAGTACCAGGATCCCACTAGTAAGGGAGAGGAGAAGCACAAACTGGCCACTTCCAACCTAGCTCACCCAGGATTGTTCACCCTGTGAACCAGATTTCTGGCCCAGACCTCATTTTCTAAGTCACTTCTACAACACGTGCTCTGCAACCCTGCGGAGTAAAGGACTGCCTGCTGTATATAAAATATAGAGAATGGCTTGTTTTGTATCCAATTTTAATTTTTTATTTGCACAACTTTGAATTTTAAAATCTTAATGTGTGCCATTAAAATACAGCTTTCTGCTGAGACCTGCAGCCAGTTCTGTCTGACTCACAAACTTGACAATGGCTAAACTGCTTCAGGGTATCTGCTTGGCTTGATTCGGCTGGCCTGGGTACAACTTCCTTTCCCATGCTAGATGTCTACTCCCCCACCCCCCCACCAAACCCGGCAGCTACCCTGACAGCTAAGCAGTGAATCACCCTGCCTTGGTTATTCTTCCTTGTTTATGGTCTTGGCCCTAACGCTAGCCCATCCTTCTGTAGCCTCATTATCTAAGGAAATACGGACTTGGTGGTGAGCTGCTGAGAACCAGTGTGTTACTGGCAATCTGTTCATAGAATTGTGAAGGAGAAGGAACCTTGGAGATCCTCTGAGACCAACCTCCTAGACACTGGGTGAAAAAGTGGAAACAGGCAGCTGTGGCTGCTCAGAGTCACATCTCTGAAATGGTGTAAAAATCCTGAGGGTCTAACATAGTGATTCTAAACTATTCTTCTCCTCTGGTAAACGAGTGTGGGGTAGTCTCCAGTATGTAGGCGATGACTCACACTACCATTTATAGTTTCTGTTAGCTACTCTTATGGATTAAAAAACAGAAAAAAAACTTGGGAGACCTTTCAATATCTGGGGTAAGATATAATTAATGGACCCCTGATGAAGGAGAATGGTATCTGTAAACCTGCCCCCACACTGCATGGCCAATAGCAACTTCTGCAATGTGGCCTTTCTGTCATTTTTCTGTAGTTTTATATTTTCAATCAAAATCCAAAGGATTGGTGCCTAAGTACACCCAGCACCTCCCTGCTGGTGATTGAAGGGTTCTTCACATGGAGGCCCGAGTTTTCAATTCTGCTATCACATGAGAACAGTCTCAAAGTTTGATTATGTTTAGCCGTTTGACAAGGATTGGAAAGAGTAAGACAATGAGGAAGAATATTTCGGGGATTCTAAGATGCTCCCTGTTTGCCCCTGCATATATGAAGACTTCGGGAATCAACAATGTGTCATAGGTTAACTGGGAATCTGTTACTTTTTCTCTCTTGGTAATACAACAATAATCGGGGATATTATGATCAAGAGCTCCTTAGATTCAATGAAATATAATGACTCCAGGAACAGTTTTAGACATGGAAAATTTATCGTAAACATGTATAGGGCTGACATCCTTTCCTCTAACTCTCTGTGAAAAGTGTAACCTGAAGTTTGACCTACTAAACACCAGTTAAACAGAGCTAAGATGGTTGCATTATGAAAAGATGACTTCAAAAGAGCACACAAAAGCAATGGACATGAATCACAATGGAGAGAATGGGTCCAAACACTCACTACTCACACTGCGTGCATTGCACCACTGCGTGTGAATTCTTGCAACTCTCTGCCACAGTCGCCCGTAATGAGGGAGTGGTTTAATAGAACATCCAATCACACCTGAGTTCAGAATGAGTTTCCCGACAAATACAGCTGTTAGACATTATAAATTCCTGTGTAGGAAAGGATGATTGGATATCTACCTGCCAGCTCACTGAATGACAATTTTTTTTGGTTATTATTGTTTCCAATAGAATATAATTTTCTCTGAGCATGACAAATTCAAAATCAGGTTTAAATTTTTGAAATAACAAATACAACTACATGTGTATTTACTTTTTGGATGCACGAAGTTAGGCAAGAATAAAATCTCATTTTAATTTCTCAGAGTAAACTTGATTAAATAAAAACCTAAGAGTGTTTTGTTGAATTATTTTCTGAATTAACAGAGTTTCAAGTGATTCTGTCTTCACTTTGCATTGCTGTTTCTATCTTTAAAAGTATGACAGAAGCTCAAAAGTAATAATTGGAAATGAAGCACTTACGTTTATAAAATACTGCTTTAAAAGCTACGTGGGGCAGAAGTTCATAGATCTTTTCTAGCACGGTAGCTTCACCCACTAATGAGGCATTGACATTCCAGACTTGGATGACGTCCTCTCGGTCTCGAACACTCACACTGACTCCTATTACTTCGTCATCTGGGGGGGAGGATGAGGAGAAAACATGAAATGAGTGACACTTGCAATCCAGTCTGATCCTATCTAAGCACCTGCTCACTTTACCTGTAGGTTCTGGGCCTAAGATGGAAGCTTGTCATACGTGACTGCTTCTATGGGGAGCAAATGATTGCTGGGGCGTCACCTCAGTGCACAAACACTAAGAGCCGCTCACATTTAGCCAGGGATTCAGATAAACAGAGTGTTCCAGCCAAATGCCTTTTCCAGATAAGTAATTTTACCCTTTTTAACATGTTACCCAAAGCTTTCTGTCAATTTCTGACTCTGTTTTGATGAGACTTTTTCTAAAATGGGTTGCATAATTCCTGCCCTCTGAAAGCCAAGTGAACTCAAATGAACTTTTTGCTCGAAGCCTGGCTGTCTCTGTTAAGAACAGCAAAAGTTTCTTTGACTTTCTGCCAAGTCTTTGGGGTCCTTGTGGCAGTTAGTCCTATTTGCCCCAAAACTCACTCGATTCAGACTACGAGTGTCCAGCTTTGTGTGGTTTGTCTGTCTGGTCTTTTCCTATTGCTTCTGCCCTCTGCTGCTTCCTTCTTACAATCAGCCTTCTAATTCTGATAAACGATGAATTAGAAGTAAGGACACTTAACACTGTGGGTAGAGGAAGAGCAAGCATCTTCCAAGTGAGGCTAAGCCATTACAGTCCTTCAGTGAACAGTCATTACCCAGCAACCCATGCTGATTAAAGTAGGCTTTTTCCAGCATGGTGACGGCATGGAGGTACTTGCACACGGTGGCTGGACGGTAACCCTACTGTACTGCTGTATGCTCCTGTGTAGTCATTTTGTTCACCCTCATTGGCAGCAAAACGAGAGGAGTGAAGACTTTCAACTACTAGTTTCGCGTGTTCATTACATATTCATGAAACAGGGTCAGCTCTCTGAACTTGAATATTCTATGCCCCAAAATGACATGTGAAAGAGAAGCATCACCAAAATTAGGAAATTTTATGTTAGCTGATATGTGTTTTCCAATTTGCCAGCGCCTATAAATTGAAATACTCATTCCATCAGTTTTTCTAATTGTCTCCCAGACATTTGAATATGTATGATTTAAATAATGGCACTCCCTGTCTACACAAAGAAACTCTCTTAGGGACTAAAGAGCTGGCTCAGCATTTAAGAGCACTGGTTGCTCTTGCAGAGGACCCAGGTTCAATGCCCATCACCCATCTGTAACTCCAGTTCCAGGGGATCTGATACCCTCTTCTGGCCTCTGCAGGCATTGTATAACATGGGTGCACTTACATACATGTAGGTAAAATACTCATACATACAAAATAAAAATTATAAATAATTTTTTTTAAAAAAGAAACTTTTTGTGGGCTATGTCCCTCCTCCCTTTTTCCCCACCTTCCTGCCTGCTTTCCTCTGTGAATGAATTTGATCCTTGCTATGGTTACCATTTATGTGTTTAAAACCAGCCAAAGTTAGACCATAGTGTTAGAAGCTGAATTGGTGGTATCTTTTAAAGGAAGCAAAGACAAAGGGAGATTGGAGGGTGAGGGGTGTGTGTGTTAATGACCTGCTCCTTGATCTATATACTAGGGACAACGATAATGTGAGGATTTTTCTGCAAACATGTCACATTCAAACTAAGTTAAGACAAAAATCAAGATTGCATTTGCTCATGACCTAACCTCAGAAACTTCTAACTTCACCAAGAAAAAAATATTTCAAGTCCTGGTCTTTTATTTTGTCATTTATACTGAAAAAAAAATACCAGTTTCTAGAGCTTAATGATAAATTTTATGTAAAAACAAAATCATCACATAAAAAAGAAGGCAGCTTAGTAGTCCACCCTAAAGAAAGACCATGATGCCATGAGCTTAGTTTGGGGGGGGATACATGAAGATTCTCCAATCCTTTGGGATTGTCCTTTATTATACTATTAGTAGTGGGTAAGGTCACAACCAGATGCCAAATAGGCCGGCCAGTCATATTTCAGCTTGGCTTGCAGCCCTTTTATAAACAGCATGGGAAAAAGGCTAAAGCTCTTACACAAAGGCATGTGCATGGGAAACACACAATGCGCATGTGGTGAATCAACCAGCAAAACCTGGACTATGGAAAAGTGCTGGCAATAGAAGGAAACAGGACCAGATAGAGCCACTACTTAAAAATGATAGAAGCTGAGGCTGGAGAGATGGCGCAGTGGTTAAGAGCACTGATTGCTCTAACAGAGGACCGGATTCCATTCCCAGCACCCACATGATGGCTAACAACTGTCTGTAACTCCAGTTCCAGGGGAATCCGACGCCTTCTTCTGACTTCTTCAGGCATTGCATGACATGGCGCACTTACATACATGTAGACATAACACTCATACACATAAAATTAAAATAAAATAAAATTTAAAAATGATAGAAGCTAGGCCCTGAAAGATTAGCCAGCCTGCTTCAAGCAGTAGAGCTAGGGAAGGGCTGAAGGGTAATAGTAATTGTGCCCTCCTTTCTAAGTCACCCACAGAACAACTGGCATGCTTTACTCAATACTGGGTATTTACTGTTCCTTCTCAATGATTTTTCCTGGTTCTGGAAATAGCACCCTCTTTCCAGGACTTGAGTGCTTATTACTACACACAGGGTTCATTTGGAGCTGTGTATTGTAAAGTTGCTAGCTTTCCCCCACTGGAACAGAAGGAATCTGCACTTTTAAGACAATTTCATCTTAACTGAAGCTTTGCCTTAGGTGAATAAAAGGTGGTATACACCAGCAGTAAAATAAGAGCATAGAAGCTGAACTGCTAGTGAGGTGGATTTGAAACTGGCCATGGAGCTGGCAAGGTGATCAGGGCTCTCAGAGACAGCCCTAACAAAGTCCGAGGGTGGATTGCTCCATGCCAGTTCACACACACACACACACACACACACACACACACACACACACACACACACACACTAGCAAATGAAAGTAGGTAAAATCCTGTAAAATCCTGAACCAAAAGTGGCACAGGAAAAAAAGAAAAACCATTATTCTAAGTGTGTCCTCAGAAGCTTTGGGAAGGCATACCCCAAGAAGAAAAGAGAACCTGACATTTAAGCATTCAACTTCTTTCAGGATGGTTTTGTGATAAACACAAAGCAAACAAAAAAGGATCACAGAGGGGTGACTCCATGGAAGAGCTCATGCCTAGATGCACAAGCCCTGAGTTCCAGCCTCGGCACACACACAGAACAAGAAACAAACAAAAACCCAAATCACCCTCTAAATTTACTCTGCATCTCAAAGCAGTGTCTGAAGGCAAGTCCCAAAGCCCCTGTTTCACCCTCAGCTCAGAGGTCGTAGGCAGGAACAGCAAGGCATCCCTGCTGCTCTGTAATCAGCCTCTCTGAACAGTGCCAGGAGAACATGAGGAAGGAAAGGAACAGAGAGGAAGGAACTGTGCCTATCTACCAACAGACTCTGCTAGGCATGGCAGGCACTGTCCTTGTCCTGGAGACAGAAAGCAGCGATAGGAAAACTACTACAAAGTGTGTGAAAAACCCACTGACACTAGAATTTTCTTTTCTTTCAGTCTGTTTATATTGGATAGATGGTTGCAGCTACTATTAAGTCATGAGGGAAAATACATGTGGGGATACATACATATATCTATATATACATTTTATATAAATATAATACACAATTGGCCCTTGGTATGTATGGAGGATAAATTCCAGACCCCTCCATACCATGGATCGTCAAGTCCCTTATATAAAATGACATTTGAACATAACATTTATTCATTTAATTTGCAGTGGTGTTTTATTTTTTTCTTTTTCTTTTTTTTTGTTTCTTTTCTTTTTTCCATGTTAGATGAGTAGTCTACCACTAAGCTATATTGTTAGCCTATCCTATACCTTTAATCATCTCTTTTTACTTATAATACTTGATACAATGTAAATGTTATGTAAACAGTTGTAATGATGCATTGTTTATGAACTGACAATAAAGGGGGAAATGTACCTATGTGTTTAGTTTGGATGCTATTTACATTTTCTACTATAAACGTTTTCACAGTTTTGATCTGTGATTAGTTGAATCTATGGATGCAAGAACTAAGGATTGGAAGGGTTAACTGTGTATATATATATATACACACACACATACTTACACAATCTCACACCAAGCATTACAACCATAGAAAAAAGCCTAACTGACTTCACAATTATGAAATCAACATCTTTGAGGCAAGCAGAAAGCCTAACACACAAAAACAAAGGTTTGAGTAACAAGCAGGAGCCAAGCACACAGGGGCATGGCCAATTGGGCCATGGGTTTCCTACCTGCTGCTGCACAGTCTGTGAACTGCTCCCCAATGGTCGCTAACAACAATTCTTTCCAAACTGTGGACTGACATGAGGAAAGAATAAAAATAAAAACAACGTTTAGGTAATTGCCACGAGGTCCCAAGGAAACATGTACTCCACACCCACACTTGGAACCTGTAGACACCCCCAAATCATGGAAGTAAACACATGCAGTTGTGCACAGCTTGCACACAGCTTCATCCACACAGATATCAATGATCTAAAATCTTAAGGCGGCTAATTGCTAGTGAAGCCTCCCATGCACTGCAGAGAAACCAGGGCAGGATTCATTCAACTCCCTGTACTTTCTGAAGTCCTTACCACTTGCTGATCCAGTGTATCAACTGATTACATTTGAGCACTATTAGGAAAAGCCTTCATTTCTTGTAACTGATATGGTACTTAACATGTTACCCAAGCAAAGAACTTTAAAGAATGTTACTGTTTATTGAAAGCTAGAGTCTTGCAAAATTCCATTCATTGCAGATGGGGTGTTTACACCAAGTAGTAAACTAATGTACAATTGTACAGCTTCCCTGGAAATAATGATTAGCCCACACTCTGCCTGCCTCCTGCCAGTAAGACGACTGAATTCCTTCCTATGGGACAGGTATGGATGCCTTCAGATAAACAACCAGAATTTGCTCACAGGAGGCTCAACAGTTCTCCCAGGTCTGTCCTTTGGAAAGTTCTAGGTCATGCTTCACAAGCTCCCAGAGCCAGGTCTGAATCCTAAGAAGTTGCTGACTTAACTCTTTGTGACCTGGGTGGGCCATCACCTCTCTGAGCTTCAGTCTCCTGATGGGGATGAAGGAACAATGATAGGGCTTACCTCATAAGGTTGTTGCAAATATGGCATTCATCAAAGAATGATTCAAAGGGCTTTGCACAGTGATTACAGTAAGAGGGCTCCAGATTTAAGATCACTTTATAAATAGCTGCATGCCATATGCCAGGCATTCAGTATACATTAACTCTGATAACAATGCTTATCACTGTGTTCTAATAAGCTTGGAGAAGCTACTTATCTTTTAACCAAGGAAACAGAATTTAACTGGGGAGTTGAAAACTAACACTCACTCCCAGGGAGCCTGCTTGTTTCTAGACACTCCCCTTCTTAGCTTCTGGCTAGAAAGCACCTTCATTTGCCATCTGTCCAACTTTGATCTTGAACTCTGTTGGTGATGACATTGGTGGTAGGAAAAGATGTCAGGGCAAGTGAGACTTCATGTTCCTGTTATGAACACAGGCATCTCTGGCCTTCCAGACATCTACTGGAGGGCTGAGGTGTAAGAGCCTGGGCACCTGTGCAGACAAGAATGTGTATTTGTGCCTGAATGTGGCTGAGGGAAGTAGTGAGGTGCCTTGAGCGATTTCTGAATAGATGTAGGCATCATGATTATCTCCAGTGGAGATCCAAGTCTACGGTGCATAAATAAGATATATAAACAAGTGAGGCCCTGCAGTGGTTCCCCAGCAACTCAAAAATAAATGTAATGAAGCACATGAAAAGGGAAAAGCAGGCTATTTATTTAAGAAGAAAGATGAAAGCCTAACATTCTCTCATTCTTGTCTACTCTCTGCTCTCTTTTTCAGAGGGGGTGGGGCAGAAAGTTCCATATACCTTGCCTGGTTTGTGATTTGCCCCTCTGGTATTTTTCATGTCTGCCAAGTAACGACCATAACCCTTAGCTGCATGCCTCATGTAGTTTGCAGCTCTGCTCATATCTTTAGGTATGTGCTCACAGAGAAATGACTCCTGCCTACGTGCATGGCTTCCTGGAGACATTTCAATTTTTTGAGTATATTCACAAGAAAGTAATAAGAAAAAAAAAGGTGAGACCAGGTAGCATCTGCCCTTCTGTACATTTAGTTTTTATCTTATGTATTTATTGATGTTCATGTGCATGCACATTTGTGTATGTGCAAGCAGGTGCATGTGGAGGCCAGAGGTTGGTGCTGGGCATCTTCCTCAATTGCTTCTTCACCTTAATTTTTTGAGATAGGGTCTCTCACTGAACCTAGAGATCAATGACTTGGCTAGCCAACAAACCCCAGGGATCCTCCTGTTCCTGACACCCCAGCCCTGGGATTACAGGTACGTATGGCTGTGCCCAGCCTTCTTACATTTGGTAATAGAGATTCAAACCCGGGTCTTGTTTGCACAGCAAGCACTTTATCAACTGAGCCAATTCCCCAGCCCCTATTTTTGTTGTTTTAGATAGAGCTTCACAGTACAAGCATAAGTTAGACTTGAACTCATGTTCCTCCTGCCTCCACTTCTAAGCCCTGAGCTAACAGGGGTAAGGGATATACTTGGATGCCCACCTCCTTTTGTCTACTTTCAAAGGAGTGATCATTTTAAGTAAGTGTGAAGTGTAATTTCCCAATCCTGGGGAATTTAGACTTCTGAGGCTTGCTCGGCTTTCCATGAACCTCAAAGAATGGGGAGCCCCTAAACTCTCCATTCTGTGCCACAATTCCTCTGGAGGTGCTTCTGTCTCCAGTGGAAGGATCCTGCTCTCCTATGGAAGACCAGCTTGCATGTGTTGGCCATGCCTAGTGAGAAAACATCTGCCACGAAGACCCTCAGTTTTCCTATAAAGTTTATAGGCTCTAGCCCTTGATGGCTTCACGATACAGGAAAGCCACTGCACCATTTCTATCAACTCACCATTTTCAAGGTGACAGTACAGGGCAAACCATCACTAGTGTCAAATGAATTGCTCAACCCAGGCCTGACAGATGACTTCTGGGCAGAAGATCTGAAAAGCACAACCTGCTCAATTCATCACATGCAAGCAATGAAAGCCCAGGCCAAGGCAGACTTAGGAAATACAAGAGAGACCTACCGTGCTGTCCTTGGGCACTTTCATCTTCCATACACCACCCTTTGCATTACTCTCCTCCTCCCTGCATCAAAGAGCAACATTTAAAGTTAAGCCCAGTTACTAAGTAGGTCTAGTAAGTGTTTCTCTCTGCATGTGGCTTAACAATAGCTGACCTTAGAAACAAAACGGCAGTCATTTTTCAGTAAACTCTTCCCCAGACCCCTGATTGGAATGAAAAACAAGAAGGGAATAGAGCAAAATGGAACCAGCTGTGATGGAGATGAGTGTGGGTGACACAACAGAAGGTTCTTATTCTCAAGCAGGTGGACAATCGACACAATTGCTATGTAGGTATGAAGACTGTTACATGCCAAAAGCATATTCATTATAGTATCTCATTTCACTTGCATAGCATCTTGGGATCACAGGCCTAACAGGTGCTCCTATGGTGGATACTGGCTTAGCATCTGCTTTTTGTCTAGGGAAAACATCTCAATTTCCATGTAATGAACCATCTCTTCCCTGCTTAAATCAGACCCACTCTGGTAGGGTCAACTCCACATCTAGCTTTAAAGACAGGCTTGTAATCCAGGTTTGGTTATGAGAATACTGCCTCTTCCTTGTCTTCACAATTAGTCAAGGATGAAGACAGATGACCTTGAGTGAGCCAATGGCAGTGAGCCCTGGATTTTATTGTAGCTGGAGAATGCCAACACTGGTAAACTTGCAGGATACAGGAATGCACCTAGCTGGGTCTAGTGGAACAAGCCTGTGATCCCAGCTACTCAGAAGGCCAAGGCAGCAGGACGGCAAGTTCAAGGCTTGCCATGGCTACAGAGAGTTCACGGCCAGTTTGGGCAACTTAGTGAAGACACTCTCATAAAAAGGGGGAGGCTAGGGATGTAGCTCAGTGGTAGGGTATTGCCTAGCATGTAATGCAAGGCTTTAGGTTCAATTCTCAGTATTGAAAAAAAAAAAAAAAAAAAAAAAAGAGGAGGGTGCTGGAGCATAAAAGGTCTGTTTTCCCATTAATGGGAAAGCCTGCCCGAAAACTCTGTCAAAACTGAGAAAGCAAAAGAAACAGGTGGAAAGTGTCAAGAGTCCAGATAACAACCGGGAAGCCAGATGAGTGGGACAGCAGCCCTACCTGTGGACTGCTGTTTCAGGTCCCAACCAAATTCTACCTTTTGTTCAATTTAGGCTCCTATTATTTGCTATTGAATGAGCCTAAACACAACTGCATTTCACCTGAGAGTAAATAACTGAAAGTTTGAAGGATATTTGGGCAAATTAACTTTCTGTCCAACACTTCATCACTATACCAAGCTTTTTTGGAAAATACACCAGGTTCCTCTGAGACCCTGGGCCTCAGTGAATAGGGCAGACTTTCTGTAAGAGAAAGGCTGAAAGTGGAAAGATCTCTTGTGAGGTTCATAGTCATCTCCTTCCTACTTTGACCTCCAGTTATACCATGCACACTTACCAAAGTGGTCTTCTCTCGCCTCTCATTAAGTGATAACTACATCTCAAAGGCAGGCTGGTCACAGGAGGGATATTGTTGTACACACTCCAGAATATCTTTAAAAGAAAAACACTTTGTTTAATACATCCAGTGTCAACTATGCTGGTACATTGCAAAAAAAAAAAATGTGTTAAAGAAAAAAAAACTGATTCTAACTCTTAGCCATTCTGTGTGAATTTTTCTCAGTAGCTCCTCAAAATTTTTGACATTTAACATAAAAAAAATTGTTCATTCTTAGATGTTAGGAAAGGTTCCATTTTTGGGGACTCTATTATTATAAAGCAAGTATTTCTATAAACACGTCTACACATAAAACCAGAAAGGTAGTACACAATGACAGGACCAAAGTTAATAAAACTGTTTTGCGATAGGTTTTTTGTTAAATATGTAGATTTTAGCTGTCACAAAAAATTAACCATGTGAGATGAGCAGCTTAATTTACTTCACTATAATAGCAATTTTACCATCCACCAATATCTCATAACATAATACTGTAATCCTCACATACAATAATATGTATTTTAAAACAAGAAATTATAAATTGACATTGGGGAAAAATGTGTAAATGTTGAATTCAGTCTATCTGGTTAACCTTAATTTATATGGAAATTAGATCTTTTATATTTTTGAAGATTTGATTAGAAAAATTACAGGAAGAACATGTTTCATATTACACATTTCAATATAATCTTATATAAAGATCCTCATGATTTCTAACTTGTCAAAGGAGTCTCATAAATAAACTGACCTTGTAAAACTCAGCCTCTTAAAACTGTGGCCATGACCTCACATGGGTCACAGAAAATTGGCAACAGTATGAGGTTTCTGAAAGCCAACAGTCAAAAAGTAATTTGAAATTTAACGTGTAGTGAACCTGAGGCATTTCTGGCAGATCATGTGATTTCACTATAGTCTTGTTTCTGAAAATACAACATGTGCACTTTGAATTCTGTCACATGGTCAACACTAACCAATGCTGCTGGAAGCACCTTGACTCAAATTTGAGACTGTATGCTATAACTGCAGTGTTTTTGCTGTACATACAAAGCTCTCTGTTCTGATAGAAACATAATAGTTTAATTACTGAATACAAAGACTTTTAATACTTTCCTACCACTCCTCAGCATCTAAGTATCAAATTAGTATACCTTTGGATTAGATTGTATTAGAATATTTGATTTTAAAAATTGATGTTTGGGGCTGGAGAGATGGCTCAGCATTTAAGACCACTGGCTACTCTTGCAGAGGACCCGGGTTCAATTCCCAGCACCCATGTGGTAGCTAACAGCCATTAGTAACTCCGGTTCCAGGGGATCTGACATTGCCTTCTGACCTCTGTGGGCCCTGCACGACATGAGTGCACTTACACACATGCAGGCAATATACTCATACACAAAAAATAATAAATAAAAAATATTAAAAATTGATGTTTGAGTTGCTGTCTTGATTATAAAATCTGGTATATGAATTTTGGCTTGAGATTAGGACAGAATTTCCAATGACTTTGGAAATGGCCCTAAAAAGACTTTTGTCATTTTGTACTACATATACGCAAAATAGCATTCCCAGCACCAATAATTATAAAATTAAAATATTGATCAGATTTGAAACATATGAAAGATATTCTATGTCCTACGATATCATATTCAGCTAAGATTTAATCCTTCATATAAAAACAAACAAGCATATTCATCTCATAAGTATGAAAATTTGCTTTTGTCTTTAATAAAGGGCAAAATTATATCCACAGCAAAGCATTTTTTGAAACAAATGTATGATTTATTACCAGTAAATGTTTCATTTGTATACCTAGTTTATATTCTTACATACCCAGAATCATGCAAAAATTAATCAGATAGGGGCTGGAGAGATATCTCAGCATTTAAGAGCACTGGCTGCTCTTGCAGAGGACCCAGGTTCAGTTCCCAGCACCCAAATTGTGGCTAACAACCATCTGTAACTCCAGTTCCAAGAGATCCAATATCCTCTTCTGGCCTCCATAGGCACCGCATGCATGTGGTGGACTTACATGCAGGCAAAACATTCAAACACATAAAACACAAATAAAAACTTTTTAATGTTTTAAAATGTTCTCAGATAAAAAGTTTCAATAGTAAAAGTTGTTTCCAAAGCCCTGTTCTAAAACAAACACACGTACTCAACGGGGAGGATCTTACTAATCTTCTGACAAGTGTGGTATTTAATAGTGTCTTTAATATGTACTAAACTGTTACTTCCTCGGACTCTGACAGAAAGGAGTCTTTGACTTGAGGCTGAGGGTGGAAAAGAAACAGAGATGAACCACATTAAGCTCCACCCCTCATCCTTTCTGTTCCTACAAGAACAGAGAATAAATAGCTCAGGGGCCAAGCAATAAGCTGCCTAAGACACAGGGCACGCATGTCCTTGCCAAGGCTGCCTTCTAGTTTCCACACCACAAGCATGGGTGCGCGTGCGCACACACACACATACACACACACACATACAGTAGTTGAATAACCCACTAAGGTGGAAATAGTGAACTGTAAGAAAATCAATGGCTATGAAGTATGCATTGGTAGACTCATAAGCGAAGAATCCACTTTAAATGCCATCTACCAAAATAGCAGTTAAGCAGAAAATCACTAAAAGACGAATAGATTAACAGTAGATCCTTAAACAGGTAAACTAGGCGTGCCTAGGGAGGGGCTGGTGCTACAAGCACTCTGTTACAGGAAGATCTCTCCAACACTTCAGCTTCTGTTTGTGCTGTTACTGTGACTAGGTAGCATTGACATTTGAATCTAGACACTGTGATTCCAAAACTCCTGTTTTGTTTTAACCCCTAAGCTATCTTCTTTAATCATACTACTTTATGTCTTATGTATATATTTCTCCAGCCTTAGAAGTCACAGTCAGGGCATGCATGAGGTCTCAGAAGGAGGGACACCTGTTGGCAATGTCTTCCAACTAATCAGATGCCATTAAGTCCACTGAGTCTGGTGACCATCTTAACTCCAGCCCATGGCTCCTGCTATAATGTGGCAGTAATTTCTGAGGAGTCCATGAATAGAATAATGCTAAAATGAAGAGCCCTGCCTAAGGGAGCACCAAGAGGATTCTGGTACCAGGAATCTTCAACTCTGAAGGTCATCCCTTCCATGGTTCCTACCTTTGCATCCCTGCCAGTATTCTCCAGTCCTGACTTTCTGTGTAATATCTGAAGTACTTTGAGAAAGACATACACAGACAAATGTTTCTTTCATTCCAAAAGTAAGAAAAAGCTTAAATACCCCATTGAGGTAGCTTTGGAAGCATAAAAACAAAAGCAGATCCTGAGCTTGTGAACCTTGGCAAATCTGGCAGGAAGAGATGATGGCCCAAAAGATGCAATGATGGACTGAGCTCAGAGGCTGTTTATTACAATATTATTATTATAGCACATTGTGCATGTTTGTGCTTGAACATACAACGGAAGCAAAAAACCCAGGTGCGCCAATAGGAAGGGCCCCATTTAAATAGCAAATGGAACTAAATGGCCGTCTCCTTGTTGTAAGCCTCATCTACTCTGAGGTCTTCCTGTTAGTATGGCTGATCGTTTACGAGCTCGAAGAAGGAGCTACACACTCCTGGACTGATACTCCAGGAGTCAGGGTACTGAAGCAGTGCAAGCTTGATGAATCACGATGACATACTCTGAAACACACACATAAATTTTACTATAGAGTCAACTTTGCAAACAGCACTAGGCTTATAATTAATTCCCTTTGGACTGCAATAGAGCACTTCAGCAAAAGTAAAACTAAGTACAATGTTTATTAATGATGGCAAGTGCACCCCTACCCCTGAAACCCTTAATGATTACCCAAGAGCTAGGAGAAGCCTTGGGCAGCTTTCATTCAGTTGCATGTAGGGCACTGTAATGGAACTAAGCAAAGGTGTAGGGGCAGCTGTAGCAGAGGGGCCCATTTGCTGGCTGTAGGTTCTCAGCATCCTTCTTCCTCTGCTCCTTGAGTAACTGAGACCCCTGACAGAATCTAATAGCTGAATTTAAGGCACTGGTTCTTGGGATAACCCACACGGCCCCAGTCCTTGAACCCCAAGTCGCCCCCTGTAATAGCTGAGTATGACATGGCTACCTCATTGGGTGATTCAATAACAGTGCATTGAAAGCACTCAGGAGGCCTGTGTAGGGAAGTTCAGTGTGGTCAGACTCATCAAATATGGCAATCATGTGATACAGCCGCACTCCACGGTTTCAGTTAAAACAATTATGTCCCATTTGACAATCTTCTGCCACAGATAACCATTCATTACCAGGAGAGTTGTCAGATTCTTTCTTTAGTTTCCAACTGAAATGATTTGAAGAAAAAGTGAAAAAGGTTATAATTGAAAAGTTGGAAAGATGCTGTTTATTGACAGAAAACAAAGTGATCTTTGTCTTGTAAAACAAAACAAAAATTGAATCACCTAGCAAATGTGGCTGGAAAGAAGGAAGGAAGGAAAGGGGGGGAAGGAAAGGGGAAAAGAGGGTAAGAAGGGAGAGGAGAAAGGGGGAGCATAGGGGAGAGGGAAAAGGACAAGACGGAGAGAAAGAGGGAGGGAGGGGGAGGAAAAGAGAGAGGCAGGATGGAAGGAGGGAGGAAACAAGAGGGAGGAAAGGAAAGGCAGGGATGGAGAGAAAGGGGGAGAAGTCAGGAAAAAGAGAGAGGGAAGGATGGAGGGAAGAAGAAGGAGGGGAGTCAGTTGGTTTTCTTCAGTGTTGCCACAGGGTAGAGGACAGTATTTCTGAGACACTGAACAAAGAGATCACATATTAGGTGTCGTTAGCTGTCAGGGGCTTCCCACCAACTGTGGAGATGAAATGGAGATCAGAAAGAAGCAGGCAGTCTCTTTGACTGGATTTTTTTTTTTTTGTTTGTTTATTTTTTAAGGGTCTCCCTGTAGCCCCAGCAGGCCTGGAGCTCACTATGTAGACCAGGCTGGCCTCGAACTCACAGAGATTCCCCCTGCCTCTTCCTGTAGTGGAATTAAAGATGTGTGCCATCACACATAAACAAATGACAATTTCAACAGT